TTGATAAATATAATATTCTGATAACATGACTAAAAGTTATGAATTTGTACTATATACCTTGTTTTCGGATACTTTTTTTTATTATTATTTCACTTAGATGCTACATAATAGGCTAACATTCAGGAGCATTACTAAGAAAAGTCATAGGTCACTCAGAATCATATAAACTCCTCATAATATGAATTGGTAAGACACTGAATACAGTACTTACTATAGATCTCTCTTAAGGCTGTGATTTTTCAAACATCTAGCTTGCTTTCTATTGTCAACAGAATAACCATTAGACATGTTTATGTTTGCCCCTTTTTCTTGATGACAAGGCCAAAGTCCATTTGGATCTACCTCTAGCAATTATGATTTATTACATGGGGTCTCTCTTCTAATTTCTTCTTATTTTAGAGCATTATTTTTTCTTATCCTCCAGGCCATTCATCTATTGGTTTGCTTTATTTTATATTGGTGTGCCTTTTTTCTCTGTAAGTTAATGTATATCTTTTTTGAACTAAGGCAGAGTATCAATCAGTAAATCAATTTAAAATCAACAACAACGATGAATATGTCTGGAATACTGATGGCAAGTTTTAAAGAACAATTTACATGGTGTCAGAGATACTAGACAGATTATCAAAACAGACCCAAATAGCCAAGAAAAGGACCTAATCTCCAGAAATGAAGATTATGACATAGGAACTCCTCAGTAATAAGGCAAAACTCTGTCATGATGATGGAATGCAGCTATTTAAATAAATATTATGTGAGGTGAAGGTCATTGAGAAGGAAACATTTCAGACATTTAGGTGGGACAGCAAATACCGAGAGGATTGTTGACCAAATACAATGTAGATCAGAGGAAGGAAAAGATTACCACAAACTGAGATTTGTTTTGTCTTGCAAAGATGCTTCAAGGAGAAATTGGAAGTCAAAATTCCCTGCTAAACCTATATCCAAGTACCTGCTCTGTAACTTAACCTTGAAACTGGTAACAGTTATTTTTTTTTTGTTTCTGTTAGTTATAATCCCAAAGTTATTACCTGTCAAAATTTAAAAACTTCCAGAGGATATAATTTCAGAATATAGGTGTTTACTTTATGCCAAATCACTGCATTCCTTTCACAAGCAAGAAAAATCAGTGCCTATTTCATGAGTATACTCATATATTGAAACATGTATTTAAAATTTATAATTTAAATTACATTCAGGCAGAATAGTACATTTGCCATAATATTTTGACAATTGAGAGACTATTTTTAGCTACATAGCTTAATTATTTGACTTAGAATTGAAATTACTTCTGTCAAAATAAGTTTACTATTCATAAAATTATTTTTCAGGAAGATAAGGGCATAAAGCAACAAATAATTTCATTGATAGATTTTGGGAAATTTTGCAAATCAATTTATACAGAGAAAAATTTGCTCACATGGACCAGCAGCTTGTTTATCAAACACCTTACTCTTCAAGGTTAACTTTAAGAACCTTTTCTTGCCACTATTACATCGCTGAATTTAATTTAAGGAACATCTTACACTCCTTAAGCCAGATCCCAAAGTCTATAAATACATCCCCTGTATCCCCCCACAATAGACTACAACTAAAATTTTTTCAAGGTAGTGTTGTTTACTTAAGCTGTTTTAATAGACAGATTTTGTAACACATTTTCTGCTGGTCTTTGGTAGGAGATTCTATTATCCCATTTTGTGTTGCTATAAAGAAACTGAGATAAAGGAAAAGAGGTTTATTTTAGCTCATGGTTTGCAAGCTGTACATGAAGAACAGTGCTGGCATCTGTTTCTAGTGAAGGCCTCAGGAAGTTGCCATCATGATGAAAAGCAAAGGGCAGATGGTGTTATCACATGGAGAAAAAGAGGACAAGAGAGAGAAGAGGAAGTCCCCAGACTCTTGCGCAACCACCTTTCACATGAGCTACCAGAGGGAGAACTCATTACCATGGGGATTGCACAAAGCCATTCATAGAGCATACACCCCCATAACCCATACTCTTCCCACTAGGCCCACCTCTAATGATGGAGGTCACATTTCAACATAAGATTTGGGGGGAACACCTATCCAAACTATATCAGAAACTGACATCTGACTATGTAATACCAGAAAGCATTTTATCTTTATATATATGTCAGAAAATATTTTCTGCAAATTTATGGCTAACTTTGAAAAAGGTATATCAAGAAACTAAAGTTTGAACCATAACAGATTTGGTTCAAATTTTATATTCATTAAGAATCTATTGAGTCCATCATTATATGTGCTGTTCACATATCAATCCAGAAGTCTGAATAAAATGGAATAAAAAGTCATAATTAGGATAATGGAATACATAATAAGATTCAGCACCCATGAGAATGGTGATCATACAGGGAACAAAAACATAGAGTTTAGACAAATTGATAGTAGACATCAAAACTAATCATCAAAAAGAAAAGTAATAGCTCTAGGTAGGACTGTTCAACACCTTGAAACTGAGCCATCCCCTTTTTAGAAGGACAAGGACATAGCTGATAATATACTTGCAACAGAAAAGCACATACATTCTCAAGAGAATTTCAAGAGTAGAAAGTCCAGTGGGTCCTGACAAATGTCCTAATAACTTCCAACTAAATATTAGAACAAATGATTCCTCTTAATTAACATGATCTAATTTGAATTAGAGCCAAAAAAAATGTGGCTGAAAATATGTAATGATTTGCTTCCTCCTTTCTTACGCTTTACTAAATTGCATGAGAAGAACACTTAACTTTTTAGTCTTTAATTCTTTTGTGAGATAATTCGAGATAGATTGTTTTCTTTTTTAGAATCTTTACTTACCTAGGTAAGTTAAAACATTTTACATGACTGACATAGCTGACAGACATTATATCACTAAGAGGTACTTTTCTAAGAGACTTATGAATTTCTATTGTACCAGTTATTATTTGAAGATACAGTGCCTATTTTTTCTTTAAGCTAGAAGTTAGCTTTACAAATTTTTGTTTCCACAATGGTAATGTGTACCACTGACAATTTCTATTCTGCACGTTGAATATAAGCAATTTATGCTTCTTTTTTTTTTTCCTTTCCAGTTATTGCTACATAACAGTGAGCAAGTTACTGCTGTTTATTTTTTGTTTAAACACTGGAGGTGAGAGGCAGTATAACATGATTTTTTTTTCCACAATAAAAAACATATATACATATAAATTATGCTTCTTAACTCAGAAGTATTAATCCTGTGGAGTTCATGTTATATTTTATCACTATTTGTCAACAAGTTGAGGTCATTTTTATGTTAAAAAATGGCACATTTCTCAAAATATATGTAAATTTAAGATAATATTTTTGTTAATCTGAATATTATTTCCTATCTTTAAAGGATTTATATTTTGAATATTTTCTATTTTAGCATGCATATTTCTTGAAATACAGTTGATATGTCCCAATTGCAATTTTAATAAGTTTTGTTTAAGTCAGAAGTTAAAAATAAAGAGCTAGAGCTGGGTTGTTTAATTTGCTCTAGTTACCTTAGAGACATTACTCATTTAGCCTTAAAATACAGAATATTTAAAATATATCAAGAATAAAAATACGGTTTTAAGCCAAACTTTCCTTATTGTATAAAACATATATTTACTTGTTCAATTATTTAGCATATTTGTACATTTTATAAGTTGCTCTGCCTATTCTATTTTGTAAAACTTGATTTTAGGGCATTTGTACAAGCTATTTTTATTCCTTGGAACACATTTTCTCCTATTTATCATCTAAGTCCTATTCACTCTTAACTTCTCAGTTTTCCTTTTAACTAATAGCCTCTCCTTGAACCTAATCCACGTTAGGCCCCTGTTATTCCCTTATAGCTCACACATTTACTCTCATAGCATGATTACTTCTTAATATTTACCTCTGTTACTTTTGGGTAGGCTGCATCATGGTAGAGGCTGTGCAGTAATATCTTTGAATTTGTGTATATATATGTAATCTGTATATTACAGTTTTTCTAGTATTAAAGTTGAGTGCTTTGTATTTGAATGTATCCTAGCCTAATCTAGTAATTATCTCCTGAGAAAGTTATATTGCTCTTTCATAATTTACTTAATTTTTATTCATTCTCTTGGTAACTCATGCCGAGTGCCTACTATATTCTAGGTATGTATGGTGCTGCATAACAGAAATCCAGTGATTTAAATTAATTCAGCATTTGAAAAATACTCAGATTCAAATGTGAGGAGACAGTAGAAAACAGAAACTTGTAAATAGTATACTAATCATTCTGTTAAAGGTAAGCAAAAAAGGGAAGAATCTATATGAGTTTCTATAATTCAAGTTAGTCTTTCCACAGGAAATGATATATTACATTTTAAGTAGTAATTGCCTAGTTTGAGAAAGAACCCAGAGCACAGATAAAGTAATGGAGTGATTAAAATATTTCCAATGGAAAATTTGAATTAGATAGTAGTTGGGCATGCCTTTAGGGCTTTCACTTCACCTTTTCACTGTCTCTGAAGCTCTCTCCTCTTAAATGGACAAATGGTTGACTTCTTTACAGTCTTGAAGTTTTTATGCAAATTTTACTGCAATAAGCCTCTTTAGTCAACCTATTTAAAATAGTAATTTTGCAAATCTTTCCACACCCCTTGCTCTGCTCTGGTAGCAATTTTTAAAAATTCTGCTTATTTATACATTTTATGAAGAAGTCATGTATCTGTGACTTGCTTTTCTTCTATGACATTATGCCACTAATTTTCATATAGTCTATTACATACAGTACACTCATTATTACTGCTAAATATAACTGTATTCCATAAACATTATACAATTTTTTTATTCCTCTGTCAGTGATCATTTGTACTGTTTGTGCTGTTATTAACAGAGATGCTACTTATCCTCCTGTTTATATCTTCAGATCCATATGGGCCAGTGTAATTTTTTTCAGATTCTTTTTTTTTTTTTTTTTTTTTTTTAACAGTCCAGAGGTCTTTTATTTATTTATTTATTTTTAACACCTATTATGCCATGAATTCATAGGGAATAGGTTCCAGCAGCTCAGGCTCCTTCCCATTGGTTCTCACAAAGTGTGCTTCTCTGGGTGGAGCAGGCTGGCGCTTCAGTTGGACCCAGGTACCTTTCTCTTTGGCTTCTTTCTTTTTCTGATCATTCTCCTTCACACGTTTTAGGAAGCTATCTCGGCTCTTAGAGTGCTTGATGTGCTCAATACGCACATTAATTCTCTTGGCAAGAATCTTGCCCTTAACTTGTTTGTTTACAACAATGCCAACAGCATGCTGGGTAACATTGTAGACCCTTCCAGTTTTGCCATGATAACATTTGTGGGGCATTCCTTTTTGAACAGTGCCCATTCCCTTAATGTCTACAATATCACCTTTCTTATAGATTCGCATATACGTGGCCAAAGGAACAACTCCATGTTTTCTAAAAGGCCTAGAGAACATGTATCGAGTGCCTCTCCTCTTTCCCTTTGTGTTCGTCATTTTGGCGAATTACTGGAAGATGGCGGTTCCGGCCGAAAAGAAGCATTTTTTTTCAGATTTTTAAAGTAAAACCTTTTAATCATAGGATAGGGGAAAATTCTGCCTTTAAAGATGATGGTAAATTTTAAACCAATTGTTTATAGCTATTTTTACACTCATCAATAAAAATGTTTGTTTCTGTTCTTGGTGTTCTTTTTAAGTCATTTTACAGCCCAGACTAGGAACATAATCTGAGAACATATTCATTCTAGATATGTATCTCTGACATATTGTGCTAATGTATTGAGTTTCTGATGGGTTTTAACCTGCGTATGTGTTAAGATGTTTCTGAACATTTGTCTGATGGTCATTTATGAAATAACATGATGTGATTGAAAATGCACAGCAAAATTTGAGGCTCTGAAAGTTACATATATATGACTGCTGCGAAACAGACAAATATTAATTGATGGATGATCAGAGTTGATAGTTCACTTTTAAGCCAGATCACACTGTGCTCAAAAAAAAAAAAAAAAAAAAAGGGCTAGATATAATTCTTATTTCCAAGCTGAAAATTCCTCAGAACTAGATATAGGAGTATTACACAGTGAGGGAAATAAGTAAGTACATGAAGATTAAACCTGGGTTTTGTTCTGTTGAAGTTAGGAATAAGCTAAATACTTCACACAGCAATCTACTAAATCTGAAACATCTTAGGTGGATGCTGCTTCTTCATGAAAATTATTTTATTCTTAAGCTTGAAGTCTCAGGGTAGAACAGTTTTCAGTAGTCCATGAATACATGGAAATCATACATCTAATGATTATTGCCTTGCAGTTTTATTGCAGCACTTATTCTTGATAATACCTGATAATGTCCTTTACTAGGAATAAAGGGTTGCCTTTCTCTGAATCTTCTAGAAGACATAGTCTCTAGATTTTAAGTAATACAAAGATGAAGGATGTTGAAGAAAATAGGCCACTATCAATTGATAATAATAGCATGTTAATTTTATAATCCCCATGTATTATTTTGTCATGTGTGCTTGCAGTAAAGTTTTTAGTTTTAAAGATGGTATTTTTACATAAACAATTTGGCTTGTTACTAATTTGTAATGGAAAGAAAAAAAAAAATAGAAGTGATAGGGTACATTGTTCATAAAGCCCTCAATAGTATATTTTAGATTTGAAAGTTTGAGTTTTTCTATTTTCATTTATAATTCCATTTGTCATTTCTATTGTTTCTAAAGATTTTTATAGTACAGAGAAGTTTGAGTAAGTGCTAGAGCGTTTTAAAGACTTTAAATGACAATCCCAGTAAAATGAGCACATGGTCCCTGGAAAATAGACTGGGATTCTCCAGAAGATATTTGGGAATTTTCCAAATTCCCTTCTGTTATTGTTTTCTTGTTTTATACCATCATGGTAGAAAGAGATATTTGATGTAATTTCCGTCTTAATGCATTTATTAGGATTTGTTTTTTGTCCTAATAAATGATGTGTTCTGGAAAATATTTTGTGTACACTTGAAAAGAATGCAAGTTCTGCTATTATTGGGTAGAAAATTCTGTGTATGTCTGTTAGGTCACTTTGCTCTATAGTGTTGTTCAACTTCATCATTTCCTTATTCTATTTGGATGATCTCTCCATTTTAAATAGTAGGATACTGAAGTCCCATATTATTATTGTATTACAGTTTTTCTTTTCAAATCTACTAATATTTGCTTTATATATTTAGATGCTCCAATGTTGGGTGCATATATATTTATAATGGTTATATCCTCTTATGAATTGACTTCTTTATTATTATATAATGATCTCTTTTGTCTCTGTTTACAGTTTTTGACTTAAAGTCTATTTTATCTGATAAGTATAGCTATCCTTGCTGTCTTTTGATTTACTTTTCACATGGAATATATTTTTACATTTTACAAAGTAACTTTCAGACTGTGTGTGTCCTTAGAGATGATTTGAGTCTCTTGTAGGCAGCATACGGATAGGTCAAACTATGTATTTAGTATGTTGAAAATCAATAAAGAGAAAATTTATATAGCTTTACAATACTCAGTGTTGCAGTTCTTTTGCTTCATATTAGTTAAATGCAATAATGCATGTGTTTGTACTCAGCTATGAGCTGAGTGAGCCAACACATTTCAGTTTTCTTTTATGAGGCAACTCTCCATGTTGTGGCTCATTCTTCAGGGCCTTTCCATGAGTCTTCTCTTTTCAGCAGGTTACCTGGACTTCCTTGCAATATAATGAACAGTATTCAAGAGAGAATACACAAACAAGTAAAGAGGAAAGCTGCCAGACCTTAAGAACTTGGGCCAGAACTGGCATGGCATCCTTTCCACTGCATTCCATTAAACACAAGTAGCAAAACTAGCCTGGATTCAGAGAGAAATGACATGTTCTTGGAGGGAGAGAAGGCGTTCTTGGAGGGAGAGAAGGCATACTTGGCAGCTTTATTCATGCTTACATATCACCATAGTCTAAATTTGTCAAGATTTATTTTTTACTTTTATTGCCTTATGTATTTTTATTGTTTATGCAAAGAAAATTTCAACAGCCAAAAACAGCTGCTCAAAGGAAAGGTTTTTTTTAAGACAATGAATATTAAGTTTAGAACAAAACAACATTAATACTGATACTCAAATGTTATTTTTCGATAATTTGAAAATTATTTACATTTTTAAAATTCTATCAGAAATAAGATGTTACAAGGAAATAAGACGGAAAATTATATATGAATACTGTGTAATTCTATTTATATTATTTTATTACATATTTTAAAGAAAATAAAAGTTTAATATAAATGTCATAATACTGATTACTTCTGCAGAGGGAAATATATCCTGAAAGTGCAGAAGTGAAATTCACTGAGTTCTAGAAATATTCTATATTTTTACATGATTTGTAGTTACACACATGTATACATACTGTAAAAAAATCAAGTTATACTATTAGTATCAGGGCATATTTTACATCTCACACTACATATATTATATTCAGTGAAACAATAAGAATAATGTTTTCTTATTGATAAATCAAAGGTCTTTTTGCACCGTTTTTGTTTTGTCAAATTTAGTAAGGGATGAGTTTTGTAGACTTAGAGTATACTAATTGTTTTGCATTAAGATCAGATAAAAGCTAGGTATTTTTGGAATTTCTAATATGTAACCTAAAGTTTTCTTAGGAAATATCTTAAAATTTATTTTACATTTAAATTTATTTTCTAAAAGGTTTGTTTTTTGTGGGCTGCATACATTTATTTTCAGTCCTTGTTTCCTATTGAAATCATCTTTAAATATTTTAGAACATAGTATTCTCAACTCTATCTGAAGATATTCTTATTTGATTGGTCTAGGTTGCAACCTCAGCATCTATATTTTTCTAGGCCACCACTTTATCCTAGGTGATTACAATATCAGACAGTTTTAAAACAGCTGGTTTTGTTGAACAGTGAGATCTTAAAAATCAGGACAATATATTTCTATTATTTGTATCCCTAGTACTTTACACAGAAAACATTATTAGGTATAGTAGCAGCATGTTATAAAAGTAGCCTAAATACAGCATGTTGACACAGTTCTTGAACTTGTTAAAAATTAAAAACATAACTAAGCAAAACAATCTTTATTAACTTTTCTTTTGAAGGTATCTTATTTATACTTTATGGTTTCAATAATTTCATTTACTTTTTTAGAATAAAGTTATGTCCTTCAATCATAATCTTCCCATATCTTCCTATTGTATCCATTATTTGAAACTATTACCCACTGTTAGTTTTTGATAATGCCCCTGTTTACTTTCACTAAATGAAATCCAATTAATTTATTTGCTGATTATATCTGAACAAATGTAAAGTTGGTGATATTTTAAGTGGAAGCAACAATTTTGACCGGTAGCTTATTCCACACAACAGCTGTGAACTAAAGCTTTTTTAGAACTGCTAGATCTCTGGTGAGATAGGTAGTCTTAATTAATGCCAAATGATATTCACACCAGGCGGGAGACTTCTTGCAGTGCAGGAGGAAGCAGCACATTTAATTCATTATCACTGAAGGAAATGCAATACTGGGACTGAATGATGTTGAAGACAGAAGGATCTACCTGGCAGACTGTCAATTTAGTCTCATGTACATGTAGTTGACTATACAGCTATAGTTAAATAAATCTCAAAATACAAGCTACATTTTTTATTGGATCGATTGCTCTTAGTTTTGGTTTCTTGCATGTTTTGAAAGTCAAGGTCAATTTGGAGAGTTTGAGGGGAAATGGTAATCAGTCACAATTTATATTACTTTAAATTTTTCTGAATCTTCCTTGATTACATGTTTTAAATTTTTACTTGTAAGTTTTGAAGCTTACAAGTATTAATTTAATTTAATCATTATTACGTTTTCCCAGTAGAACATATATAGGCATAATAATAAAAAAGGATACATATATAATTATGTAAATACAGTTATGCTCTACATAAAAATGTTTGGGTCAAAGACAGATCATGTATAAGACAATGGTCCCATAAAATTATAATGCCATATTTTTGTTCTACTTTTTTTATGTTTAGATAGGTTTAGAACACAGATACTTACCATTGTATTACAATTGCCTAAAGAAGTCAGTACAGTAACATGCTGTACAGGTTTGTAGCCTAGGAGCAATAGGCTGCATCTTACAGCCTAGGTGTGTAGTAGGCTACACCATCTAGATTAGGAGAGGTACATCCTACTATATTCACACAACAAATGTTTCTCAGAATGTTTCCCCATTATTAAATGATGAATGACTGTTTATCTGTATCTATATAGATATAGATATGAGTGTGTGTATGTAATTTCTAAATATATAACCAAATTTTTAATTTCTCTAAACATTTTTTCTAATATGTTCATTCAGTTATGAATGATATTGATAGAAGCCTACTAATAAAAATAAAATGTTAGAAAGATTTCCTTACAATTCTAAACTTAAAAAAAAAAGTCATTAGCTACTTTGATGTTTGCATACACCTTTTAACTA